CCACTCAGCGTGATTTGCTTACCAGCTCGCGCACATCAGCTATACATGCATTAATACTGAATGTTTTATATTCATTGCATACATATACTTCGTAGACATCTTTAATCTCTATTAACTCCATTCTGCTGTCTGTTGTCAGTGTTTCTTTGTCTGAATATGGCACTTATCACATGCTGTGTGGTATCGGCGTTTGGTATCGGGGCATTTTAACGAGTACGAATACAAGTACGAGTACAGGAGCTCAGTATCAGGCCCGATACCGATACCAGTATTGGTATCGGTGCATCCCAAAAAAAAGAGTCTCTGAAAATTTTTGAAGATCCATCCGGAGATCCACAATGTCCTTTGAGAAACTCATAAGACAACATGAGTTTCTCAGAAACTTTCTGTACATTTTCTTTCTTTTTGTTTTAGGATACACTTATAATGCAAACAGTCCATTGCAAATTGTAATCTTGCAATCTTATAGTTACAGTCGACAAGAATTTTTAGCATGGTTTTATCATCTGTAATACTTTGGGAAAACTTTGCATAATATCTAATGTATTCCAGCATAGTTTCATATTTTATCTTTGTCACTGAAAGTCTATCAGACTGAAATCTTCCACCATTAGATGCCAGTATATGACTGCAGGACAGTGCCATGAAGGACATAGTATACCAAAATCTATATACTGTCTATATTTAATTCTTCTAATTCTATTAATAACAAGTACCCGGTATATAGTATTTTAGTGCTTACATGAGAAGGGAAATGCGTTTGGTTTTTAGTTATTTTTATAGAATTCATGATAGTCTGACTGAGATATTTAAAACAAATACTTTGTTTCTTCATTATGCATACATTTTAATAAAATTTAATATACCTGTATGCAATAGAGGATAAAAACGTTACCACTTTATGATCATCATTGATATTTTATTAAAAAAACGGAACCCGATCACATAAATTATTCTGTCAATAAAATATTTTATATACAAATTGGAAATAGCACAAGGTTTGAATATGAAATCAAATAGAAACAGTGTAGCTTCTTTTAGACAGTTGTTCTTTTGTCCACTTTATCAACATGGCCGCTCACCCAGGGGGTCTCTGGATCAACACAGAACTCTTTCCCTGCTATTGTCTGAAACCTGATGGGAGAAAAACAAAAATAAGATTTAGGTCTAAAAATAAGCTTTTTAGTTGTCTTATAGAGGTTGGCTTTACAGTTTTGAAATGAGATATGAGATTGATGATACTCACACAATAGCGCGTCTGGCACAGCTGCTGCTGGTGGTCCAGTAGTAAGAAGTCACTTGTTTCAGAGGAATCTTCACATCAGTGAACTCTCCACAACACTTAGATTGTGCTGCCTCAATTGAAATGACAGCTAAAATGTGGAGAAATAAGACAATTTTTTCAATATGATCATGTCGCCACATTTTAAATCACCAAATGCAAATCTGAAAACAATACATTTTGTCTTGATTCAAAAATGAAAATAAAAAAAGAGCCCTCACCGCTTGAAGTCATCTGCACAGAGCAGAAGAGCACCAGGAACAGCACAGACATCAGGCTTCTCATTCTTCAAGATGTTTCTTCACAATGACAGAAAGAATCAGTAGAAGTTCTGTAGAGCTTGAGGATCTCACAGCTGATGTGTCCAGAATAATGTCTGAGCACTTTCTTATATACATAGTTGGAGACATATTCCTCATAAAGACATTCATGCAAATCCATTTCTGAGTATCAACACTGCAGAATCAGAGCTGTTTTTTTTTTTTTTAGCTCTTTCTTTTCCTCATCCGTTTTCTGTTTTGTCACTCATGTGAAAATGTGGCAAATACTTTTCTTTCAGATTCACTGCAAACATGCTTCAGCAAAACAACACACAGCTTCCTCTTTTGCAGGCCTGTCAAGCTCAGCATTAAATGAACTAAATCTGAAGATTTTAATGATTAAATCTGAATTGTGCTGTCATCAAATATCAGGTGCTTAACCTTGACCCCTTACTCACATATAAACCCAAAGACCTTGATTAACTGGTTCAGGTGTGTTTAATTAAAGCACTAAACTTAAGTTGAACAACCAGAAACAGGACCGAGAACCCCTGCTCTAAGAAAACACAACCACTTCTTGTCTCTAGTGACACTTGTGATCTAATAGAGAAGTTAGACTAATTCAGTCACCAGTTAAACCGATTCACAGAATAGAAATATGCAAATATAATAACAGGAAAAGGGCAGCTTTTCATTTGCAGTTAGCGTCTGGGACAGATGCAGCTTGTCCAGTAGTAAGACGCCACCCATTTCAGATGAATCTTCACATTAGTGATCTCTCCACAGCACTTTGATTGTGCCACATCAAGTACAAAAGCTGAAATATCCCAAATTAGAAAAAAATTGAAGTATCTGTTTGTTCATGCACAAAAAGAAGACAACAGTTTTTGAGAATATTGGTATATCTATATTTTCAAATCACCAAGTGCAACACTAAATTGCAACAAGTAAAACTAAGACTTACTTAAATAATCTGAAAATAAGTTTTATTTAACAAAAAGAGCCCTCACCACTTGAGGTCATCTGCACAGAGCAGAAGAGCACCAGAAACGTCTCGGTTACGTATGGTAACCCTCGTTCCCTGAAGGAGGGAACGGAGACATCACGTCGGATGACCGACGAATTGGGACATTTCATTTATTTCAGTGTCCCTTTTTACCCCAATCAGTTTCATTTAGAATCATCGGTATCAAAAATATTCACATTCTATTGCCTCTACACTTGATTACATTCACATTGCCTTTTTTAGTTCATATTTGAATGCTTAACAGATCTGGTATTAACAAGTATTTCAATATTACTCAATTCAACTGTATTTCACATATTACAGTTTTTCTCATTGGCTTTGATACATTTCTCAAATCATCCTTGACATTTACAAACCAGCAAGTGCATTTCTCACGACAATTAGAAGTGGAGGGGAGTCTCTGGAAATTTCTAAAGATCCATGCAGAGATCTACAAGGTCCTTTTAGAAACTCACAAGACAACATCAGTTTCTCAGAAACTTTTTGTACATTCTCTTTTTTATTTTTGTTTTGGATACAATTATAATGCAAACTGTCCATTGCTAATTGTAATCTTGTAATCTAACAATGGACAATAATTTTTTTGCATGGTTTTATCATCTATAATACTTTGGGAAAACTTTGCATAATATCTAATGTATTCCAGCATAGTTTCATATTTTATCTTTGTCATTTAAAGGGGTCATATGATGCTGCTAAAAAGAACATTATTTTGTGTATTTGGTGTAATGCAATGTGTTTATGCGGTTTAAGGTTAAAAAAACACATTATTTTCCACATACTATACATTATTGTTTCTCCTCTATGCCCCGCCTTTCTGAAACGCGTCGATTTTTACAAAACTAATCGGTCTGAAAAGCGAGGTGTGCTCTAATTGGCCAGCTATCTAGTGCGTTGTGATTGGCCGAATACCTCAAGCGTGAGACGGAAATGTTACGCCCCTCACCATACTGTGATGTGAATATTTGGGTTGAAGTGTTCTGGAACAGTGTTGTAAATACAACTTAACCACTTCTGGTCGTGTCCTCTTTTGGAAGGCCAAACAAAGTAGTTTCGCTTTCACAACGAAAAACACAGCGGCCTAGCGTGAGCGAAAGCCCCGGCTTAGCCTGAGCTGAAGCCGGGCAAGAGTGAGCTGAGGCGGCGGGGTCGAGAACGGCGCGCCCGGCGGATGCGACGAATGAGAACCACATGTGACGACCCCGGGCTGGACTCCGCTTCGTCCACTGTGAAAGCCGATCCGGCGATCCACAGCGTGAAGTTGTTGTATTTCCTCAGCGACCAGCACGGATCAGGAAGCGGATATCATCCTCTTTTGGAAGACCAAATAAAGTAGTTTCGCTTTCACAACGAAACACACAGCGTCTTCACGACATGGCGGCGGCAACAACAATACTACAGCGAGAATAAAAGTTACGCCTTCTTTCTTTGCGTGAACATTTGGGCGGCGTTATGCAAATCTTCCCAGATCGTGACGTAGGTATGTGGGGGCGTGTTAGAACGAGCCGTTTTAGGAGGGCGTGGCTGACTCTTAACTTTTATAAAGAATATCTCTTTGGATTTGAGACTTTAGTCTGCAACTTTACAGATCTTCTTTATGCACCAAGAGCTTGTAACACTCCAAAGAGAAAGGAAAAATTGAAATCACATCATATGACCCCTTAATGTCTATCAGACTGAAAACGTCCACCATTAGATGGCAGTATATGACTGCAGGACAGTACCATGAAAGACATGTATCAAAAGTATATCAAAAGCTATATACTGTAAACAAAAGTTTACATGAGAAGGGAAATGTGCTGCTAAAACGGATTTGTTTTTAGTCATATTTATAAAATTCATGATAGTCTGAGATATGTAAACAAATGCTTTGTTTCTTCAAAATATTACACACATACACACATTGTTTTTTATCGTTTACGGGGACTCTCCATAGGTGAAATGGTTTTTATACTGTACAAACTGTATTTTCTATCGCTCAACCCCAACCCTACACCTAAACCTACCCCTCACAGAAAACATTGTGCATTTTTCGATTTTCAAAAAACACCATTTAGTATATTTTTTAAGCCTTTTGAATTACGGGGACACAGAAAGTGTCCTCATAAATCACCTTCACATTGTAATACCTATGTCATACCCATATCATTATGCAAATTTGTGTCCTCATAAACCACATAAACATGCTCACACACAAACACAAACACACACACACACACACACACACACACACTTTAATAACATTTAATATACCTGTACGGAATAGAGAATAAAAACATGAATATATTATGATAATTTTATCATTGATATATATTTTATTAAAACAACTGAACCCAATCACATAAATTATGCTGTAAAAATAAAATACTTTATAGTTTGAATATACAACAAGAAATGCACAGTTCAAACAGAAACTGTGTTTTAGACTCTTTTAGACAGTTGTTCTGTTGTCCACTTTAGCAACATGGCCGCTCACCCAGGTGCTCTCTGGATCAACACAGAACTCTTTCCCTGCTTTTGTCTGAAACCTGATGGGAAAAAAACTAAAATAAGATTTAGGTCAAAGTGTTTTTGTTTTTCAATGGAGTGTCTTATAGAGATTGGGCTTTACAGTTTGAAACTGAGATAATGATACTCACACAATAGCGCGTCTGGGACAGTTGCTGCTGGTCCAGTAGTAAGAAGTCACTTGTTTCAGAGGAATCTTCACATCAGTGAACTCTCCACAACACTTTGAGTGTGCCGCTGCAAGATGAATGGCAGCTGAAATGTGGAGAAATAAGACAAAAGTTTTCATTTAATCATATCACACTAATCACAGCATTTAAATCACCAAATGCAGCAAATGAAACCTGATGAAAACTACCATAAATAATCTGAAATCAATACATTTTTTCTTCATTCAAAAATGAAACTGAAAAAGAGCACTCACCGCTTGAAGTCATCTGCACAGAGCAGAAAAGCATCAGGAACAGCAAACACATCAGACTTCTCATTCTTTATTGATCTTTCTTCACACTGACGCAATGAATCAAAAGGAAGTTCCTTAGAGCTTCAAGCTTTCTTTTACACAGTTACAAAAGAATGAATATAATAGTACTTAACATTTTCATTTCATTTATTTCAGTGTCCCTTTTTACCCCAATCAGTCTAATTTAGAATCATCAGTATCAAAAATAATCAAATTCTATTGCCTCTACATTTCATTACATTCACATTGCCTTTTTTAGTTTACATTTGAATGCTTAACAGATTTGGTATTAACAAGTATTCAGTATTCAATTCAACTATATTTCACATATTACAGTTTTTCTCAGTCGCTTTAGTACATTTCTCAATTCATCCTTAACATTTGCAAACCAGCAAGTGCATTTCTCAAGACAATTCATACAACCAGCATCACACAATGGGTTCCCAAATGGCTAAAAATCCTTAGTTCATCTCTCAAAAGTAAATATTTATATCAATGAATGTATCAGTGCCATCAGAATGACAAGCCATTTTTCATCAAGATAGTTGAAATGCTTAGCCATGTTATAATAGTGTATTCTGACAGACAGTACTTCCTGATGGTGTTTTGATACCAAAAATTGCACAAGGCTGCACTTTTTTCTGTATTGCATACATAACAGATCATTGACTACCTCACCAATGCCACTGTTTATATTCACGATCTATTACAATAGTCAAAGCATCATTCTATTTTAAATGGTTTCATTTTTATTTTATGGAGTTCACCTGTAAGCGTAATAACAGGAGAAAATGAAGAAGCAGGAGAATTGCATCTGCTCTGTCACAGCTCCTCTCGTGGTACAAAGCTGGTGCATTAAATCACTCATTTATTTTCAGTAGAAGTAGAAGTAGAAGTTCTGTAGAGCTTGAAGATCTCAGAGCTGATGTGTTTAGACGTATTCCTCATAAATACATCCAGATAGACCCATTTCTGAGTATCAACATTACATGAAAGTAGTTTTTAGCTCCTCCTTTTCCTCGTCCATTTTTCTGCTTTGTCACTCATGTGAAAATGTTCCCGAGTTTTTCACTTTCTGATTCACTGAAAATATGTTTCAGGAAAACACAGCTTCCTCTTTTCAGGCCTGTCAAGCTCAGCATTAAATGAACAAAAGCAAAAGATTTTATAATATAATTTGAATTGCACTGTCACCAAATATCAGGTGCGTAACATGGTCCCTTTCCTCACAAGTAAACCCAAAGACCTTGATTAACTGATTCAGTTGTGTTTAATTAAACCACTAAACTTAAGATGTTGGACCACTGGAAACAAGACTGAGAACCCCTGCTCTAAGAAAACAAAACCACCTCTTAGTTTCTAGTGACACTTGTTGGTCTAATAGAGAAGTTAGAATAATTCAGCCACCAGTTAAACTGATTCACAGAATTAAAATATGCAAATGTAATGAGGGGGAAAGGGCAGCTTTTCATTTGCAGTTAGTGACACTAAGACAAAAACATTATGATACTTAAGGGTTTCCTTTCACAATTAAATGTTATTTTGAGTCTGACTAAAATAGTAATTTGTCTTTTTAAAATAACATGTAAACATTTCAGTCTAACTGAAATCATACCAGTCCATTTTTTTTTTACAATAGAGGTTTAGATGTGACTGTGGACTGTGATGCTCTGAAGTAGTATTAGAGATGGTGTGGATTTAGTGGGTGCTGAGCTTTTGACATTTTTCAAACCTGGGACAATCGTGCACACTTACTTTCTGTTGTGTGCATGTTTTCTTAAGTCCCAAGACCTCACATGTTAGTATTGCAGGCCTTGTAGCTCAGCATACATGTGTATTTTTTAAAGATTTATTTATTAGATTTTTTGCATTACCCATTATCAAAGTGTCCTTTTAATATTGACTTTTAAATAAAAAAATATAATACATTTAAATTAAAAGTTTCAAAATGCTTTCAAAATGTATGCAGTAGAAGATAAAAATGTTACTACATGAGGATAATTTCATCATTTATATGTTAGTAAAAACTGAACCCATAAATCATTTATACAATAGTTGAACATTTGACCCTTATAATAGACTGTTTATTAATAGACTGCTCGCCCTGCAGTCTCTGGACACAGACCTCTCTCCCTGCAATTGAGGAGAAAGAGTACAAATTACAAAGTACAAATTTAATTCATTCAGATTCATTCAGATTGACTTAGCAGTCAAAAAATGAAATGTTTGATGAACTGAAAGATTACATTGTTCGTGACACTTCAAACACAAGTATTGGTATCTATCAGACACATCTACAAGTCTTTCATCTGAAGTCCGAAGTCAAGTCTTAAAGGCAGAGTAAGTGATTTCTGGTAGCCAATGTTGATATTTGAAATCACCAAAACAAACACGCCCCTACCCCAAAAGGGTCTTGCCCCTATTTTGATAGCTCCGCCCCACATATACGTACGCAACCCAGGCAACGATTAGTTCTGTGAAACAAAGCAAAACCAATATTACACCGTGTCTACGGACGTGAGCGGCGCGGCGCAACAAATCCCGACAGAAAACTGCTGCCGGGTTCTATTTATGACGTGCTGACACAAATTTCAAATGGTTTTCAATGGTCGTTTGATCGCGTCCAGTGTAGTCAGACTTTAGCTGTTGTAGACACGGTGTTACTCACGTATTGAGAAGAAACAAAGCAACCTCGGGGTCCGATCGCAGGCCTCCGCTCCTTGAGTTCTCTCCAGCACTGGAAAGCTGATCCAATATTTTACACGGGTCCTACTTCTTGCCTTATCTTTCCGCAGACGTTTTTCCTCTTTTGTTTTTTATCCGCCATCTCTATCTTTCTGTCGCTCGGCTCGGCTAATGTCCGTCCCATGCACTGAACGCGCTCTCCTCCACATCACGAGTAGACACGCCCCTTATTGCTGATTGGCTACAAGTTTGTTTTGCGATTCGGCCCGAATCAGTTTTCTAAAGTGTTTTTTGAAAAATCACACACCCTGCCTTTAAGTCTTTAAGTCGAGTCGAGGCTGAAGGCTTCATTAATTGTTGCAAATAAATTCTAATCCTTAAAAATCCTATTTACAAGGTTGTATTTTAAAGACAAGATATGTTCCAGGGATATTACTAGGATTCTAGTTCAACTTGTCTTTCTCTACCCTTATATATAGGCACAATCCAAGATGCAAAAATACATAAATACATGTAAAATTATTAATTTGAGGAGGCCTGCTCATATTCAAAATCATCTAATACCATGATGTAGCCTAGCCACTAGATGCTATTAATCTAATTCGAGATCTAATTAATCACAAATCAACTTTAGATGAGAATATGCCCCCCAAAAGATCATTTAAAACATTATTGTGCTGCGCGATGAGTAAAGCATTGAATAGACATTACAAAAAGTAGCTTTTTTATTTATTTATTTATTTTTGCTTTTCCTTTGTCACTATGTGAGTATGTGAAAAGTACTTTTCTTTCGGATTCACTAAAAAAGCACTTCAGGAAACCCAATTTTTTCTTTAGTAACATTTTAGTCTAATAGAGAAGTTAGTATAACTCAGCCAATACTCAGATAATAAGTATCGCTTTTTATTTCTCCTCTTTCCTACTACTTGTTTCACTTCTGTTTCAGTTTTTTATAACCATTTCTTACAAGTGTCTGCTAAATGACTAAAAGTAAAAAGTAAAAAGTAAAAGTATAACTCAGTCACCAGTTTAGCTGTTTTACAGAACTAAAATATACAAACATAACAATAGGAAAAGCACAGCTTTTCTTTCACCGTTAGTGGCAGTAAGAAAAAAAGTGTGATCTACTTGTGAGTTTACATTCACTATAAAATGTTTTTTTTTTTTTAGTCAAGCATTATGTGTCTGGAAATGTACGGAAGTTCTAAGCGGCCATGCAATATTTTTTTTTCCTTCTTGTTTTCTCGTTATAACGACTTAATTTTCTCGTTATCTCGACATAACGGGAGTTGTTTTCTCGTTATAACGACATAACGGGAGTTGTTTTCTCGTTATAACGACTTAATTTTCTCTTTATCTCGACATAACGGGAGTTGTTTTCTCGTTATAACGACTTAATTTTCTCGTTATCTCGACATAACGGGAGTTGTTTTCTCGTTATAACAACTTAATTTTCTCGTTATCTCGACATAACGCACACACACACACACACACACACACATTACATAGGCCTACACATGAACGCTCTTTTCAAACAGCACATGATATCAGTCACAGCATATAATGACTACTAAAAATTATAAATTATATATAATTTTCTTTCAAATAAAAGGAAAATTAAAAGTGAGTTGAATCCAAGCAGCTCTAAAAGATTTTAGAATAGTTCTGCATCCTGAAGGCGCTCCGCCTGTGTTTGCGGTGTTGCTTTGACCTTAAACATGTTAATGTCGAGATAACGAGAAAATTAAGTCGTTATAACGAGAAAACAACTCCCGTTATGTCGAGATAACGAGAAAATTAAGTCGTTATAACGAGAAAACAAGAAGGAAAAAAATATATATTGCATGGCCGATTAGAACTTCCGTAGGAAATGTACTGTAATATCAATACAAATTATTTAGGACGTATTATCTAACATAACTTGGGCAAACATTTTCACATAATATTGTTTCCAAATAAAAGCCTAAAACTTTCATCAGTAGGTGGCAGTAATGGACTGCAGAACAGCACTAGGTATATGGCTAACTAACAAATAAAAATCCACCACCAGAGGTCAGTCGAGAAGAACTGAAGAGTTTTAGAACCAAGAAAGGTAGTTGTTGTTTTTTTTTTTTTTAAGAATTGCTCCTGGATTCCGATAGGTCTAAAGTCTGTGCTGCTGCTGATAGGACAGAAACAACATGTTTCTCACCCATCATACTTCTGAAAACCACATGCATCTGCACAGACACATTAATCTTGCTTCCTATTTCCCCCCCAAAGCTGAAATCCACTCTAATGTGAAGGTGGTCTATTTGCATACAAACTGTAGCCAAAGCTGTAGTCTAATATCCACAACTATTTAACACTTTCAGCATTTCATAAATAAAATAAATTTAAGAAATTAAAATTCATTTAAATATTTCGTTTTCTCCCTACCATAAAATGCATTCAGTAACATTAGAATGTAGGCGTACAAGTACAGTATATACAGTAATGTAAACAATATAAGTAGGATGTAGATACATTCATATGGTATTATAAGAATGTGATTAGGGGCAAGGCTTAAACTCTAAAGGGTCCTTGGTCTGAAAAAGGTTGAAAGACCCAAATACCACTGTAGTTTCTCAGAAACTAATCCTGCATCCCAGTCCCACTACCTCTACATGGTCAAATCACACAGATATAGCTACGTACATACATACAGTATCTGGATCTAAAATGGACAGCGTCACTTCCTATTACCAACATGACGTGTATTTGCGGGCAGAAAAGAGAACTAAACTGTTATATTTGAAGATTACATCTTCTCAAGTTCAACAGTAGAATACACATGACCACAAATCTATGTGGTTGAAAACACCATTCACTGTACGTCAGACGCATAAGGTCATAAACTGTTTCCAAACTTTCCATCTGGTTTACAAAGCAATTTTAACACCCCAAAAGAACTGCGTTATTAATGATGTACAGTCTGGGGAAAATCTTGGGCTAGTGATCAGTTGTTTTTGCAATTATTAGGCCTAAGTAAACAATGCTTGCCTCATTATTCACATGCTGTTTAGTTTCAGAGTCTGAGGGAAGCAGATAAAATATGAATCAGTGATGAATCTACTTTTTGTCTTTGTATGATGTTTTTTTTTTTTTTTTTTTTTTTGTAGGGTA